GTGTGCCTATTTCTTTAATACTTGTTTTTTTTGGGAGCAGTGAAATAAGCACATGACATTGGCCACGGCTTGGGAAATGTTTCTCTAAATGGCAGTCCCGACGGAGCCGGTTTCATTTCACGACCTGCGTTACGACATCCCCACAGACGCGGTTTTTGGGACACGACAAAGCAAAATGGAAGGAACTCAAGTTTTGTTGTTGTTTTCAAACTTAGGCGAGAAAAGCAGGCGTAGTGGAACAATTATTTCCCCACCACCATCACCATGAATTTATTCTGAATACAACCATTGTTTTGCTTCCCACGAAGTTATATTTCTTTGATCTACCGTGTAAAGATGATTGGGGAAAAAATCGATCGCAACAGCCACAAAGTCGTTTGGCACTTTTGCTTACTCAGATGAGTATCGGTTGATGATGATCTCTGTGGTGGTGGTGGGCCTATGGTGGAAATTACACGATCCCAAGGCAGGAACAGCATATCCATAAAACTATATCTTGACTTTTGTCAATGGCAAGAGAGGTGATGGGGAAAAAAATCCTGTCACCCACTTACATGATAATGAAAATGTTGTCTCTACTGTATGTATCCTGGAGGGAAAAAAATCTTGAGCTTCAACAATTATCTTCATGAGCATCCTGCATTGGAATGTTTGGCCAATTTTAGTTAAAATAAGGAACATTTGTCAATTAACTATGAGGCTCTGGGATAATAAACATTGAAGGGAGCTCCATCTCTGCGTGTGGACCGGCAGAGAGGAAGAGGCAGAGTGTTGTGAGTTGTGTAGCAGCTCTGGGCTGTAACCCAGCATTCGTTTAACAAGTCTCACTCTGTTCATGAGACCCAGAATGTCAATGTCAGTCCGGTGTTTACTCTGTAAAACAATTGCCACTTGATAATATTGCTCTGTAGAGTTAAAGCTCTGTAAAGACTGATGGACTGAACAGACCTTGTTTATGTAACGCGTGTTGACAACACAGACACGTCTGCGTATGTATGCTCGCACCAATATAACCCACGGGCTAATCCGGCTTTGCAAACAAGGCTACCCAGAGGTCAGACAAGGTCAGCCTTGGTACGGATCGCGTACACACCGCAGACATCCACACCGTGGTTAACACGGGGACGTTACATTCTGGGGACTGACGTCAAGTAGAATTACGTGGCGATACACATACTGTGCTGCGTTTGTAAGCACCTTTCGTCAGAGGTCGCAAACGGGTTTTGATTCCTTACCCGTACCCGGCCACACCAGGGTCGCAAGCGGGTACCCGTACTCTACCCGTACCCGGCCGGGTACGGGTAGGGTACGGGTATTGGGTACCTGATTGCGACCTCTGGGATGAAGCCATGTTACAGGCGTGGGTGGGTTGATTCTAGGAACTTGAATTGTGAGAAGAGACAAGACATTGGGAAATGAGTGACAAACAGTTACTCACCAGTGACTCACGGTCTACCCGTACCCGTACCCGGCCGCACCAGGGTCGCAAACGGGTACCCGTACCCGGCCGGGTACGGGTAGCCGGGTATCGGGTAGGGTACGGGTATCGGGTACCCGGTTGCGACCTCTGCCTTTCGTACTGTGATGACCAACCGCTTTGCCGATGGCGAATTCTACGACGAGGATTTCGGTGGCCTGTGGTCGCCTTCTTCTGGCTCCTGCGGAGGGCTTTTCGATGCTTTGCACCTGCCACGTCGCCCCCAACGATGTCCGCTTCTCCCCCCCCCCCCCAAATTTGTGCAGATACTACTGACTCTATTGCATGTAGGGTGTTGTGTAGGTATATATGCCGAGAAAAAACATTTTTTGGGGGGGGGGGCGGGGGGGGTGACATTATTTGGGAGGGGTCGACAATTGTTGGAAACCTGTTGGCCGGCGAGAGGCACGATGCGTGGACTCTCGCTCTCCCCGGCCGACGTGCGTCAGCGCTCGTCGGCGTCCCATCGCTGCGGCTTTATTTACGGAAAACAAAAAGCGCGTGGGGGACACCCGGGGCACGTCCGCCCATTGTTTGCCGAGCCCGGCATGAAGTAGAAGAAGAAGGGCCGACGGCCTCGGGGGGGGGGGGCGGGGAGAGGAACAAGAGCCGCCCACGTCTTCACGCTGTGAAGACGCAGCGTGGAGTTCCACTGGCGCGCGCGCGGATCTTCGTCCAAAATGCTCCGCGAGAGCCGGGGCCCCACGGTGGGGATGGAGTGCTCTAGCGTTTGTTTGACAAACCGGACTGCTGACGAGAGCCCCGTTCCGAGGTCAAAGCCGGTCGAGCGTTTGCCAGCGGACACAGCTGCTGCTGCTGCCGCCGCTGGATAAAGTTAGTCTGGATTTTTTTTAAGTAATTTTATTTTTCGATTTAAAGCTTTCGCGACTGCAGGGATTCATCTTCTTGGTTCTTTCGGTAAAGTCACGTAGAAGGGAAGTAATAAAATAATAAAAATAATACATAATAAAATAATTCTCACGACGTTTCAGCCACAACGCAAGCAGCCGTCCTCAGGTGAAAACCAGGTCTGTGGACAGAACCAAGAAGAAAAAAGTTATTTTAATTACATGTGATGATGATCGAGAGTAATCACGTTGTGGCAGCCAAGGAGTGGGGCGCTTGAGAGGGTACGTCCACTGGGGTGATGGAGCGATGTCATCAGCTCGTGTGCAGGTCACAGATCGATTTGCTACGTCGCGAGATCGTGAGGGGTGGCGGCTGGCTTGGGAAGGCCTTCATCCAGCAGTGGATTTTGCACGGCTAATGACGACGATGATGATGATAACGTGAAGACACGGGATGGAATTGCCCTCACATATCGTCTGCACGGCACAGATCCGTGGAGGAGTGGTGTGCGATGGCTCACGCTGGCGGAGTCTTCCACCTTCATTGTGTGAGCGTGAGTGGACTTAAAGGTCACGCAGATGACACTGCCAAATGCCCTCAGCCCAACAAGTCATCCCTTCAAGTCGATAAAATAACAACAACAAAACAAATGTTCAGGAGTGTATCATTGTTATTCAATACAATGGTAGTAGGAGGGCTCGTGGGGGAGCTGAACGCGATCAATAAGAGCGGCACGCCGATGACGAAGCTTCCATCAAATCGCAGAAAAAGTGGAGCACGTGCGGTCGGCGCTCTCGGTCAGCATCGACTCACGTCTGTAACGATGGCCCAATTGAAATCAGAGTCAGAAAATGCATTTATATGGGAGGAATCCGATGGGCTATGAAGCTCTTTTTTCACAGTTGTCCAGCAGGGGCACGGGGTCAGAACATTTCAACAACAAACAAAAGCAGCGGCAGCAGCGGCCTGATGTGGTTCCATCGGCCAAAGCTCAGCAGGTTCAAGCCCGCCCGGCCGCCCGTCCACACCTCAGTGCGCCAACGTTTCTGATTGAAGCAACAACGGGCGCGTTTCATCGATTGCGGACGATAAATTAGTCGTCAGCATCAGGGCACGTCGACCCGTCGCGAGCGTCTTCAATAACCGTTAAGCAAGCACGCGGGCGCGCTTTGAAAAATACGTGGACGCAAAACAAATGGAATGAGCACCAAGGCGATGCTTCACCTCCAGTGTGCAGGGGAAGCTCGAGGGCTGAGCTGAGGACTCGGGGGCTTCCTGTCACTTCCTGCCACTTGAAGCCACGGGAGAGCAGGTCACAGCGAAGGGAAATAATAAAATAATAAAAATTTAACATAATAAAGTAATATAATAAAATAAAATAATATTTTTTTTATTTCAGTATTTCCCTTCTACGTGACTTTACCGAAAGAACCAAGAAGATGAATCCCTGCAGTCACGAAAGCTTTACATCGAAAAGGTCACAGCGACTTTTCACTTTGAGGCTCTCGTTAACGTTATGCCGATGGGACATTGGCAAGGCTTGTTTTCGAGCAGATGTGGGAAAGTACGTGTGGATGTTGTTGTTGTTGGCCTGTCAATTTCCCACTGCTGTTGGCAAAGGCGTCCCCCAATTTATTTCATTCCCTCCTTGCCCCAGTTTCTCCAAGTCCGTTGGTGGCCTCTGAACTTCTCTTTTTTTACATGCGCCCTGTGAAGGGAGATTGAACTTTGAGGACCGCCCCTCGTCGATTTAACACCCCCCCAGCAGGGATTTTAAACTCCCAACCCTTGAGATTGTGAGTCTGGGTGCCCGGTGGCGCAGCTTCGTGTGACTGCGTCGTACAGGCCATGTTGCTCTCCTTCTTCGTAAGACGTCCTCTCCCGGGAGATGGTGCCGTGACTCAAGCTCCCTCCGTCCCATCCAATCCCACTTAACGTCGCGTCGCCGCGCTCAGGGACTAGGGCTCTTTAGGCGTAACTGGGGAAGGATTGGTTGAGGGGGGTGGCTTCTCCTTTGATTTCGTCAACAGTGTGGTTTTCCTTTTAGGTCACGGGTTGCAGCTTAATGTCACACCCAGGATGATGTGGATTGCTCAAAACACATTCAGATAAATAAATATATCGGAGAACACCTGCTATTTCTCCACCGCGCAGGTGATGTAAAAACAGCAGAGCTTTAAAAAGCACAGCTGCGTCCGTCTTTGTTGTTGCTGTTGTTGCTGCTGCTGCGTTTTAACTGATCGTTTCTTCCCGGTCGTGAATCCGAGCACAGATGAAAGTTTCACAGCGGGGGTGAGGAGGGAATACGGAGTGATCTATGTCGATGACGTGAGCTGAATGCTTGACCCGTGAGGAGGGGAGGCCTCCTGTTTTCATATTTACCGGTTCAGAACATTAACGTAAAAAAAACGTCATTTACGGACCTTCGTCAGTCAACTGCTGGACGAAGATTTCCCTACGCTGCACGGGTCGCGCACACGGGTCACCTGACCATAATTCACCATGCTGCGTGGGTCACCTGACCATAATTCACCACGCTGCATAGGTCACCTGACCATAATTCACCACGCTCACCGCCGCCGGTTGATTGCCGTGGCCGGGAATCGAACTGATGAGGGCGGTGCGCTAACCGCTTTGCCACCCCCCCCCCCCCCCACCTCCCGGCTTGACACAGGAGAGAAATGCCACGATGGCTTCTGCGCTAACGGCGGAACCTGCTTCCTGGAGAGCAGCAACGACGGCACCAACCTCAAGTGCCACTGCACTCCCGAGTTCATAGGCCGCCAGTGCGAAGAGCGGCTGCCAGGTGAGATTCCGAGTCGCGTCCGTCCGTCCCCACCCCCCCCCCCCCCCCCCCCCCCGGAGCATGCAGGGGCGCGCAGCCGCTGTTTGTGCCGTGCGGGTGTCGGCGGAACAACACCAACCTCACCCCCCCCCCCCTCCTGTTTGACACGGCGACGTAAATGCTGATTATGCTGATGACGCAGATCGTTTATGTGAACGTGGGGGTACCGCGCGAACCATCGGGCTCGAGACAGAGTCGGGAGCCATTGAGTTGCGAGATTTTTTTTGAGCTGTCGTTAGAGACGAGAGCTGTTAACGGCGTCGAAGGCATTTGGCGAAGAGCGGCCATCAACCCGAAAAACTAGACTATTTTTTTTACCAGGTAAAGCCCACTGAGCTATATCAGCCCTTTTAAGAAGTGACCTGGCCACAAATAATAGCTCAGCGAAGTGGCTTAGCACATGGACATTTATAGCAAATACTCTAAACACATGTTGATTCTAAACGTGGAGCGAAAAAACCGGAAGACTCGGAGAAAAATCCACGTGGCCGCGGGGAGAGAGAGAGAGAGAGAGACGCAAACTCCAAATATAAAGGCATCGTCGGGGTCGGGATCGAATCCACGACCTCCTGTATACCAGGCGAGGTAGTTGACATCTCCTAGCCACCGTGGCGCCCACAGTGATGCGTCCAAGGTTCCCTTGCCGGTGGGTGGAGGCAGCGTTCTTGATCAGTTTTAAGAAGGTTGCCTCCTCCCAGACACAAAACCGCGCACCAAAACAATCGGCCAAGTTTCTTGAAAGAGAACACCGATATTCAGCGAGTCTTTTTTTTAACATGGATAAAATGTAGACCCTATGTACGTAAAATAATTAAGGATTGAGAGGAGAGTTTTTTATTTATTTATTAAAAAATCTACGGAACATTTATAAAGGCAAGAAACACGTGCGGTTAAAAACCGCCTGAAATATCACAAGCCTACACGCTCGTACGACTCGTGCCCCTGTTAAAATAACTACACGTAAAATGCACGATCAATGGAGACCTTTGTTCTGTTCGGTGTGAATCGCGCTGTGAAACAAACTTCTCCTGTTACGGAATAATAAAGCGTCAGCTTGTAGCAGACTTGGCGAACGATCGAGCGCTCAATATGTTCTTTTAATAACTACTGCCGGGTTTCATTGATTTGAATTTTAAAGAGTAACAACCCCATGGGCCACGTTAAAGGTTAACGAGAAACGTTCACAGTTCAACTTTCCGTGGGGACATGTTTGAGTCACCCCTCTGAGCAGGATTATAAATGTCATCGTTTCGATTGCAAAGTTAAGACCTTTGTCACTTTGCCGTTCAGCGAGACACGGCACGTAAAAACAAATATAGAAAGACAGAAACTGATGAAATAACTACATCTTTACAGAATGTTATTTCATCAGAATTATCACGATTATGATATTTTACGAAAACATGCCGATGACCAAATCACCCAGAATGCACACAGTCTCATCATATCCCGCAAGCTAATCAAATTCTGAGCCTGTACAGTGCTTGATAGGGAGATAAACAGGTTGCTAAAGGGCTGCACGGGCAAAGTGGTGGGTAGACAAATCCATCGTTGTACAGTACTTCAATGTGCCCATATCCTTGCTCCCTGTACTGACCGGTGTGGTGAAGTATGATCAAACATCTCCCACGACGTCCACAGCATGCGGAGACCCTCGCCCAACAGTGGATTGCCAAATCTAAATTCTCAGTGGGTTGATAAATCTAAATATATATACTCAAAACACTTCAAGTTCTAACTGTTGACATTTACTGAAGTGATGTAGCATTTAGTCATTGATTCAACCAGGTGGTGCTGTAGCTGGTGTGCTTTCCTCACAGTAGCAAGGGTCTAAGTTCAAATCCTGATCTGGGGGAGTTGACACAACAATGCTAATCGCACCTCCGACCGTACGGTGAGAAAGAAGCTCAACATACATATGTCGTAAGTTGCAGGAGGCTCGGGCGACGTAGTTGGAGGCACACTTATTTATTAACACCAACTTATGTACAGAGACGGGGATACACAACACTTGAAGGGGTATCGGCCCCTTCAACCGTCTAACAGGGAGACCCAACGTCTAACCCGGCTAGCCTACGCCCAGGTCCTCCACTACAGAGCTAGGGGAGGCTACCTATCCCAGCCCTGGTCAAGCTGGGATCCCGGCACCCTGAGTCTCCAGACCGGCTCTTATAAGAACGTCAGTCTGGGCTCTCGGGGCCACGCCACCGGCTTTCCCCGGTCGGCTCTGACAAGGACAGCGAGCCAGGGGAGTTCCGGGGCCTACTCTAGCTGGTCTTCACTCTTCACTGGTTAAAGCTAACACTCGACCTCGAGCCCTCCGGCTCACCACCTTTAATAGCAATCGGCCCCCGGGGGGGGCCGTGGGGGATGCAGGTGCGGACGTCGGTGTGAGCACCTTCTCTGTGTACGGCCATAACCACGCCCCTTGTGTTTGTTACCCATCCGTGCCCATACACCTTTACAAATACACCTCTACACATACATGAGACTGATCGCTGGCGTAGGGACACGGAATTTCCACCGACTGAAATGAGCAGAGCCCCGTCGCCCTCGCAGTTTCATTTGCAGCGGTGAGACGTTTAAATATTTCCATCTCCGCGAGCCTTTATTCACTTTATTAATTCCTAGATTTTTCATTCGAATGCAAAAAAAAAGCAACGAAGACTTTCGCACAAAAAGTTGTACATCAATGTTAATGCTCGTTTACAAAAGTGCCTTTCAGAGGCGCCGCCGGTTGGAGGGGTTCCGTCTCCGTCGAAATGAGCGGATGTCCAGTCGCGAGCAGCAGCAGCAACGGCGGTGGTGGCAGCACCATGTGCACTGAGGGATTGAATGTGGCCGTTTGGTCATCGCTTTTGGTAATTAAATCCGAACAGATGCCTCCTTTGTTGTTTAAATGAAAATGTGGCTTGGGGGGGAAAGAGCGCACGCACACGATGGCATCCCGGTCACAGCCACCAAACACAAGAGCGCCGCCACCACCTTCCTTCTCCGTGAGTCGTTGCCCTTTGTATGAGAGCAGAAGGAAGTGAATACAGCGAGCTCAATCAGTGCCACATGAGCAACTAATACGGATACAGACAGGCACAGAGAGAGCACGGAACACCGATGTAAGCCGCGGTCCGGGAATCGAACTCAATTTTCCGGGTACGTAGTAGCCGTATAGACTGGTTGGGGCAAGTGCTGTGAGTGAACACGCTATGAAGGCCGCCTTTGTCCTCCCACTGCGTACGCACGCAAGCATGCACGCACACATGCACGCACACATGCACGCGCGCATGCACGCACGCACGAACGGGAAGGTGCGGGGGGGGGGGGTTGGAAGAGTTAACAGGAGGATACACGAAACGAGCACATTCAAAAACTAAAAAATTTAACAGCAAAAACAATTTGAAAATGAAAATCCACCACAACAGCAGCAGCAGCAGCACCGTTAAACCTTCGCGGTTACGCCGAGGCTTATGAATGCACCGCACGGGTGCTGTAAAGGTTGGCAGATATTGACTTTTAAAAAAAGTCTCCACCAATGTACTCATTAATAATTGACAGTGGAGAGACCCAGCAGAGAGATCAACCTTAATTGGCGATTTGTGGAATCAGTGGAGAGGGCTTCCGTGCTGACATTTTAGACAAAAGCTGCACGGGAAAGGCAAACGGCCACACTTCACCACAAACAGACAACACACTTCACACGCGAGGCCCGGGTCATCAACAATGCTCGCGTTTGAGCACCTGTGCTCGTGTGAGCACACACGCGCGTGCGCAGCCGCTAAAGCCAATGCGTCTGCCGGCTCAAACGAGCAATGGGGACAGGGTTCATTACTGCTAATGGCCCTGAGCAGGTGGTAAACATTCCATATTCCCATGACAGGGACGAGTCCTCTCCGTGGGATGGCCATCGTCGATGATATATCGGGCAATAATCCCATTGGCTGAGCGGACCAGGATTTAATGTATACTGTATATGCAGGTGTCAGGGTCCGAAACAAACCCACGACATCCTGCATACCAGGTGAGGTAGTTAACATCTCGCCACTACGGCGACCCAGGTAACCAAGACCCAGCAGAGCTGACTTCCAGTGCCGTCTGTGTGTTTCCATAGTTCGAGAATTATTTGCAGAGAAACCGATCTTCTAGTGGAAATGAAACAATATAAATACTCTCAACAGGAGGTTTGAGGAGCCACGCAAATAATTGCTCTGAGTTGGTTACCTGGTGCATAGATGATGATGATGAAGCTACGTAGTGGGGCAGCCAAAGGCAATGCAGTTAATCCCATGGTTGTACTCTACTTATATGCTCCCACATATATGTTCCACACCTTCATCAACCCGTATTCACCAGCATAGCGAAGCATGATCAAAAACCGCCCATGACCTGCGTGGCATGGCGAGGCCCTCATCCAGCAGTGGATGGACATAGAACGGCCTGCGAATGTAACCCGAGATGATGGAGCGAGTGCATTTCGCTTCTCGAGGGAGCATTGCTGTCGGAGGGACCATGCCCTTTATCATCAGGGCTACTCGTCCAACTTCTTCGTCAGGCCACAGACTTTTCAATCACCCCTTAAATCTCCCTACAGATACAACTGCTAACACTTGCCACTGCTTCCAACATTCTGCCTGGCTTCACTCGAACGAGCACATTTCACCGCGGGAAAAATGCAGTGCAGTGCCGCATCTACGTACGTACGTAGGGATCAGTTTAACACGTAGGCTTTCGCGACCAATATTATTCACAATGAACGTTTTTGGGTTTAGATCGCGTTATTTAAAAATGTGTCGTAACCCTCCACCACCCGACATGGCCAATCAGCAAAAAAAAGTGTCACGTTGACAAAAGACAAATAGTTCACTGCTTTAGCCCACCGGTGTGTTGAAGCGTGAAACCACAACATTTACAACATTTACAAAAACGTTGATTATGAGTACGTAGGGATGTTGAACTTCTATAGCACC